CAAAACTAAAAAAAACAAAAAACTTGTTTTCTTTGGAAAAACTAGTAGCTGGAAAGGAAAAAAAAAAAAAAAAAAAAAAAAATGAGGCAAGGTACATAAGGTCAGGCTCAGCTATATTTTTCCTAAACATTCCATAGACTCTAGAGAAAGTTTTAATATACACAATGTAATTTTAATTGAGGAGTGTTCACATTTGCATGTGAGCTCAGTTTTAGATAGCTGCTCACTCTGTGTACACAACTTTTAGTGACTGGATGTCACCAAGGAATATGCTGTCAGGTTTTGCTTGGCAGCTATTTGTTCTCATAACGTTGACACTGATATTTTTCTTTGAATTATGAAAATTCAGATACATTTGGATTTTGTTCATGCAGAAAAGGGGAAAAATATTTATAACATTTCTCTCCACATGTATTATCAACTGAATATTTACAATGTTTGATTTACTGTTAAAAAACATCCAAATATGGTTGGCGATGAAATATATGTAATTTATTAGGAAAGGAATTACATTCTTGAAAGAAGAATCCACACAAAGGAATTTGGGAGGCCCAGGAATGCTTCAGTCCGTCTTCCCAGGTATAATCACCATTGCCTAGGAGCCTGTGGCACTAGGTCTGGCACTGGATGGCAAGTGCTCAGATACCTACAGACGCCAAACCACAGTGGGAGGTTTTGTGCTTGCTGGACCCACAGACTAAATTTCACTGCTACAGGTACTTAAAGTCTCCATTTTATAACAAATATTCATATATTTATTTTTATTTCTATATAGAAAGAAGTGTAAAATCAGGCAGTAAGGTATAAAATTTGTCTTAGACTGCCTGATTCTTTTTGAGATTTCTATCATTCATCCAATACATTTTCATTACTCAGGTACTACAAGGAAGAAAAATGCTAGGCACTATGGAGGAAGCAAGGAGGAAGAAATGTGTTCTTTGCCCCATATGGAGCTTACTATCTCCTACGGAAAATAAGGTGAGAACAAATAACTATCAAGAAGCAGTAGGAGAGGTACAAACGGATACAGTAGTCCAGATAAGGGAGGCCTGTTTAAGGCTGCTGTGACTAAAAAAGCTCACGAAGCATCTGGGTCTCAGAGTTTGGGTAGGATTTCAACTGGCAAAGATGACAGTTCATTCCCAGGCCAAAGAGACAAACGGAGATGTGAAAAGCAGAAGGCATGCTTGGGCAAAGTTAATAGTCTCAAACGGATGGAGAAAAGGGAACATGAAAAAAGGAGTGGGGGATAAGGTCAGTTAGGTAGATCTAGACAGGTGGCTGGCACTGATTTCCTAAGCTCCGGAATTTGCACTTTATACAGGAATTAGTGGGTCACTGACGCCTTCTGGACAGGTGAACAAGGAGCAGAGTAAGCATGGCAGGTAGAGGCAGGAAAACTGCAATAATCAGAATGAGAGGCAATGTGGGCCAGAAACACGGGCTTAACAAAAAATAACTATGCTTTTTGCCTACAGCCCAAGGTATTTTTATGTTCTCTTATCAATTTGGAAATTTTCTTTCACCTCTTTTCTATTAACAGTTTCCCTTACTGACTCACTTCCTCCACCATGTATCCAGGCTTTTCATTCTTTTTGGCTTACTTAGCTAATGTCTCATATTTTCCATTGGGGGGAAAAAGTCAAATAGGAAACACTCTTGTTGGAAGTTTTCAATGACAACTGAAACTAAGCAATAAGGCAGGTTGTACAGTGGCCACACTCGTTGGAAGGTCTCAAGGGGCTACATTTTCTTTTTTTTCCAGCAGACCCCCCAGTGCTACGCTGGCAGCCAGACTAAATTTGTAGTTTTTCCACTGAAGACCTCAGATGGGAGCATATACAGCTTTCAACTCATTTTTTTTTTCTTATACAAAATAAAACTTAAAGCTGAATTAATGATCAGGGAGTTAGGGATCAGCTCTGAGGACCACCCACAGTCATGTCCAAAGGGAAAATTCTTGAATCGATATATTCAGAAGGAAAGAAAAATAAGATGAAATCTAGGAAAACAGAATACACCAAGGAAGACAAAGAGAAAGGGGATGTTAATTAAAATTTGAAATTACATATTAAAATATAAATGATGAAGGTACCAAATACTTTTCTGTGAACTTACATATTTCACTATTCATTTTAAAACTACTGTTAAGATTTTTTTCTACCTTGATAATCACAAAATAAAAATTTGTCTTCAGATTCATTTGTGTTTTTTGCAATTTATAATAATTTACGCTATAGTAATATGTAATGTTCTAAAAAGAAATTGAAAATCTAAACAAAATTTTAAAATTTCCTAATCCATCCATTATATTCATTTTAGAAAATTTACAAGTTCTAAAAAATTAACATGCAATCCAAGTGAAATAAACTAGCGAATATATATTACATTAATATACTTGTATATAATAATATATAAATATTAATGTTATAATATAATAATATAAACATTATAAATACATATATTACATAAATATATATATAAAATAAATGTTAATATATTATAAAGCTATAAATATAATGCAATAAATATATCAATATACTCAGTTATTTTATA